ACAAAAGATTGTCAGATGAATCAGACATGAAGATAGATATCCTCACGTGCCTTCAAAATTTGTCGTTTTGGCCAGCATATTCCAAAGTGCATCCTTCACCTGTTTGTTCCTCAGGCTGTAGATAACAGGATTCAGCACTGCAGGGGCTACTGTGTAAGTGAGGCACAGAAGCTTGTCCGTAGGATCTGGAAAAACTAAACTGGGCCTCACGTATGTGAACACAGCGGTGCCATAAAAGAGAACCACAGAGAACAAGTGGGAGGAACATGTGCCCAGAGCTTTTTTCCTCCCATCTGCTACATTCATCTTCAGGATGGCTGCAATGATCAGAACATAGGTGAGCAGGATAAATACTAGTGGGGTGATGAGAACCAGGAAGACTATTAGGATTCTCTCCAAATAATTTGTGTAGGGGTTTGAGCAATGTAACCTGACCATTGGAGGAACATCACAGAAGAAATGATTGATGACATCAGAACCACAGAAGGGGAAAGAGAATATCAGTGATGTTTGCACAATGGATATGGACAACCCGGTAACCCAGCATCCAGAGATTAAGAGGAGGCATGCCCTCCTGGTCATAAACCTCACATACCGCAAAGGATGACATATTGCCAGGTAACGATCATATGCCATTATAGCCAGGAGGTAGCACACAGTAGTTCCTAGGAACATAAAGAAGAACATTTGTACAGCACAACCTAGGAACGAAATGGTTTTCCTCTCTGAAATCAGGTGCACAAGCATTTGGGGGAGAGTCACTGAGGTATAACATATATCCAAAAGAGACAAATGCCTAAGGAAGAAATACATGGGTGTGTGCAAAGCGTGATTCAATACCGTGGCAACAAACACCAACATGTTCCCCGTCAGGATGAAAAGGTAGATGAACAGGAAGACAATGAAGAGCCAAGCTTGCATGTCAGAGCTATGAAAAATTCCCAGGAGCACAAATTCGGCCATGCTGGTATGGTTTACAGTCATAATTTTGTCCATCTGATTCTCCTGCAAGGATCACAAAAAGCCACCATGAAATACGGGATGTTCTGATACAAAGAAATGAAAAATAATCTTTTAAAACTGAACCTATTCTATTGTTGCTTCTCATACAGTATTCATGACAAAAAGGAATAGTCATTGTGATGCAATGATTACAGTAGGAGCAGAGAGATCTAGCTTCACATTGCCTCTCAGCCATAAAATACCCTTGATGACTCTCAGCAAATAACAATTTCCCAGGTTAACCTTTTCCATGCATATGCTTTTTTGGTTCCTTGGATAAAAGGTAAGCAATATATGTAAATTATAAAGAATATTTTTCTGCAACTGTAACTCTACTGTTTTTTGCATAATCAGGCATTAACTCTGATACCATCACAAGCCATTAAGCGAATACCCCCCTCCCTGTCTAAGGAGCACAAAGAAGAATGCATGACATGGGTTAGACTGAGAAATAGTGATTTGTAGAAAAGTTATCTAGGGTGCTTCATGGCTGAAGCTGGATCTTCTTGCTCCAGGTTCAACACTCTAATTATTATGAGTGTAAATCAGTGGTCTAATCTAAACAATATAGACTTCCCGAATTGACATGCTTATGTGTTCCCATATTAGTCAGAATCTATGTAAGATTTCAGTCCATATTACTCCTCAAATGATGGGTCAGATTCTGATGGGGTTGTTGTTCCGATGGTATTTCTGATAATTAAACTGGAAGTTGGAATCCCACACCCCCCCAAGCACTATCAAAACTTGCTTTGGGGTTTTTGGAATCCATCTGGAGTAGGTTTTTTGAGTGGCATGGAAGTCTTCAGGAGGGAGATAAGAAGTCCTGTTGAGCTAACAACTGGGCAGTAGAAGATAGCTTTCTGGTGCAAAGTTGAATTTAGACCATCTTGCATTTGATAGACCTCCGGTTAACAGATGAATGTCTCTCTTTTCTAAGTAAATGAGCATATTGTAGCCAGGGGTAGGAAACCCATGGCCTTCTAATTGCCAGTGTCTTATTCTCCTCAGTTCTAGCTCAGAAGGAATAACAGAAATTCATGATCCTCTGAAAGGTCACACATGCTCTCCACTCTTGGTCTATCTATCCAGTTAAAGCCTTTCCTTTAGTAAGTGACAGCTGATCTAATTTTTCACTCACAGCTTGAATCATTCATCCCTTTACAATACTTACAATCCAACAAATGTCTCATATCTTAGAACGTTACCTTGGTATGTACTGGAGATTGCATTAAATAATTTTAACCCACTGAAAGCAATCAGATGATAAAGGCTTGATTAAAGAGGGCTGTGGGGACATTAAAAACTGATATATGGAATGAACTGAAAATCCGCTTGCTTTGACTGAGACCTGAGCAATGAATCAAAAAACTCTTTCTTAACAGCTTGAAAGCTAAGGTTTGCCAGATTATTTATACCGTGTCCTTCCTTTCTTCCTTCTCCCTCACAATACATTTGTTTGTCTCATAATTAGAGAGGGGGGTATTCCTATTCATATATGAATGCAAATATCCCTGCACAGCTGGACTTAACGAGGGTTTGGCCCCTGGGGCCGGACCATCCGCTTGCGTGTCAGGCTGTGGCAGTGGCTTCTCTCATCCTTCCAATTACTCCAGGAGCGCCACTCTCTTCCTGCTCCCTAGCCAGGCAGGGGTAGGGAGGACAAGTTTCTCTGCATGGCTGCCCAGTGGTTAGCGAGTGGGAAGAGAGCGGCACTCTGGGAGTGATTGGAAGGATGAAAGAAGCCATTGCCAGATGCGTGACTGGATGGCCCAGCCCCAGGAGCCGGCCCCTCGTTAAATCCACCTGTGCGGTGATATTTGTATTTGTATACGAATATGAATACACCCATCTCTACTCATAATATTTCCTCAGAGTTGACTCCTAAATCAGAGATCTAAATCATAACTTCTTTCATTCTGATATATAAGAATGTTTTAAAAATCCAGAACATCTCTTCCTTGGGTGGGATTATGAGAGCTTTTGTGTATTTTCATAATTGGGTGCTTCTTTGTAAAAAAAAGAAAAAAACGAGAGCTGTTTTTTCACATGAAAAATATGTGTTTTGTGTAAAATACAACATTTCTTTTTCTTCCCACACAAGAGTGAAAAAAGTGGTCAGTATAACTTTTTTCAGTCCAAGATGAGAAGATCTGATGACTCCATTACATATTTTGTCAGTACCACTGTTTCACATTTAAGCTTTTTGTTGTTGTTTAGTTGTTGTGTCTGACTCTTCGTGACCCCATGGCTTTTACTGTATGATAAATGGAATATTTATAGAAAAGATCCTCCATTTCTTTTACCTGCTGTCTTTTGAAACAGGAGGAACCTGATTTCAACCTGAGGTTGAACAGCCTTATCTTGATCCTACATCTCTGACTGTCCACAGGCCAGATACAACTGGTGCTCTGGAATCCTCACATGGATGATGAGCTGTGGATACATCTGGGGAAAGACACATTTGGACAAGAATAAAAAGAATAGTCAGCAAATCCACATAACATTTGCTAAGATGAAAGCAAATCCAAATGTGAAAATGTTTGCATGCTTTACACCTTGAAATTTGTTGCATTTTGAAAATCATTCACAAAAATTTATCTCAGCTGAAGACATGGTGAGTCTCCAACATGTTGTTCTATACACACTTGAACAGTGTGCATGGCAAACCAGAGATCTATCAAATGTGGGTAAAATACTGCTAAATGTGGCTGTAAAACATGGGTAAAATACTGCTAAAATGTATCTTAGCCAACAAACAGGGATGTACTCAAGCATTCACATACCATTTAAAACATATTTTATAAACATGGCCACTTTGGGGAAAAAAAATCAGTAGAAAAAGAAGAAAAGAGGTAGAAGAAACTTTACAGTGGAATGGAAACAGATGTGAGGAAAACATGCAGACCTTGTAGATTTCTCTATTCTGACAGAATTAGAATATTTTCAAAAATATCTTTATGAAACAAATAGAAGGAGGTTGCTCACTGGCAACATTATATAGTCTGGCTTTACACCCTGGCTATGAACTCAACTGCTATAATGCAGTGATACACATTGAACCAGGTGTAAGTCAGTTACCTGAACAGATAGTTGAACATAATAATGGAGCAAGACAGACATGGAAGATATTTTTCTGAAAGTAGTTTGAGGACAGTAGGATTTCCAATACAATCTTCGGAAGTCAGTTCACAATGTGTTAACAGAAGGATGACTATAGCAAGTATATTGCATGGATGGTTAATTGTAAGTCAATATGAAGTTACTATTGTAAATAAATATTATTTCTTTATAGTTCATACAATAAGAATCATTAAAGTAATGGACTGCAACTTTTGAAATAAGAATTATGCTTACCTGTACTAAATCAAACCTTGAGTGTTTTATAAGGTGTCTGGAAGCTTATGCATTATAGATTGATGTTATGAGCAAAGAGGCAGTTTGGTAAGGATATTTTCAAGTATATGAAAGAGAGAGAGAGAGAGAGGCAATAATACACTCATTTGAATGGCAAATCAAGTCAACTCCTTCCAATTAATTTCCAGTTGGGGCTTGGAGTCCCAATTCATGGGAGGGCACTATTTTTATCAGAAACATTTGCTACTCTCATGTATGTACAGTTGCACTTATGTTGATTTTATGTAATTGACTACAGTGGGCCAAATCTCCAAATCAAATAAATGAGACGAGTGCTAATGGTGATCTTCTGGGGATACAGTATGTGTGTATGATGACAATTCAATCCTGTGTGCATGCATGTGGATGCAATGGGTTGTAATCGTAGAATCATAGACTCATAGAATCATGAAGTTGGAAGGGCTCATAAGGGAACCCTACTCCCTTTTCAGTGCAGGAATCCAAGTCAAAGCAGATCTGATGGTTGTCCAATTTTCCCTTGAATGCCTCCAGTGTTTGAGCGCTCATCATCTCCTAAAGTCATTGGTTCTATTGTTGTACTGCTCTAGCAGGAGTTTTTTCCTGATATTCACCCTAATCTTGGCTTCCTATAACTTGAGCCCATTGTTGTGTGACCTGGCCTCTGGGTTGATCTAGAACAGATCCTTTCCTTCCTCTGTAGGATTTCCTTCCAGTATTTGAAATGTTTTTTTCAAGTGCTTGGAAAGTGTATGTCCTCTCAGTTGTCCTTCCTCATGGCTAAAGATGTCCAGTTCTTTCAGTATTTCCTCACAGGGCTGGGTTTCCAGCTCCCTAATCATCCTTGTTGCCCTCCTCTGAACCTGTTCCAATTTGCCAACCCTAGAAATGTAGGCAGTTGATTGCAGAATGAGTGTCCTTTTTACATTTATATGCCACACTCTCTACACTTTTGCATTTATCTAGCCATAATTGTATCACTTGAGTGATAAAAACAGTATTTGCTCAAACTATGGTGTTGTAACAAAGGATTTTACTGTGGTCTGCAAAGCTATGTTCAGACATGAGTTATACCAGATCAGTTATTCTCTTTCTCAATTACATATGAGGTGTGAATCTCCATTCAAGAAAACTGGCAGTTGACGATGTCTTCATGCTTGTAGGAATCACAGAAGCATAGAACAGTGGTTGGAAGAGCCCTATAAGGCCATCAAGTCGAACCCCCTGCTTGGCACAGGAATACAAATCAAAGAATATCTGCCAGGTGGTTGTCTAAGTTTCTTTTGAATGCCTCTAGTGTTGGAGCACTCACTGCCTCTCAAGGTAATTGGTTCCACTGTCATACTGCTCTAACAGTTAGGATCAGGAAAATGGGAACAAACTAGTCCAGTTATTTATCTGTGAAAATTAAGAGATTCATATATTTGCCACACCACTGTATTTGCTCAAACTATGGTGATGTAGCAAAGGATTTTACTGTGGTCTGCAAATCTATGTTCAGACATGAGTTATTCTCTTTCTCAATTATGTACCAGGTGTGAATCTCCATTCAAGAAAACTGGAGACAGTTTTCATGCTTGTAGGAA